GAGCAGAGCGTTCATGGCGTCCAGACCGGCCAGAAGTGGGACGTGTAACTGTTGTGCTGGTGCATTCATTCGTTCCAGTGGAAGACGACGCCCCAATGGACTACCGGGGTTACGTGATCGAGAAGGGTAGGAAGCAGATTTGGGCGAAGGATGTTTGGGTGGTAACTGATGAAACCCAGAGAGAGAGAGAGAGAAAGAGCAGGACGTGCACAAAAGTCAGAAACTATCCGCGTAAAGCCAAGAAGAAATATTCATTTGATAAGAATACATATGAGATGGACAAAACATTTCGGATTGGTACACATCAACAACCTTACGCAAGACCTAATATAATGCTCAAAGAAGAACTGTTGCGCTCTGTAACCAATCTGAAGACCAGTATCCGTCAAACACAACAAAAAACAAAAAGCAGGAAGCAAATCAATTTCACAAAAACGGCTCACGGTAACCGGCTTTGACGTCCAATTGTTTTAGCAAATGAAACGCTGTCTGGCATGTGATATTTGCACGCGGAACCCACAAATGCGGAGGATATGGATATCCGAGATAACGATTGGTGGATGAGGCAATACATAGATCGATATTGGGCACCAATGACGGCCGAGTATTGATCATTGTTGTACAAATGCAGCTGCAATCAAGTTATGCTTGTACACCAAACGACAATCAAGCGAATTTCACCGACCTCGTAGTATACATGAGAGTCAACTGCGAGAGGCTAATGACTTTTTTCTTAAACGTGTATACCAATCAGAAAACGAGCGCAAATGCACAGCTTTAGTTACTGGAACCCGATGCAATACATCCCTTCAAGTTTCACATGGTCATCCATAGCAACAAAATACAGTTTCAGTTTGTACAATCATTAACCAAGCACTTTCGTGCGCGGGTTTGGATTGTGGACATTTGGCTGAAGCAATAAGAGAAAGACAGCGGGATTGAAAATAGAGTTAAAGAGCAAATGGAGAATTTAAGTGAACTCAGGTTGCAAGAAAATTAGGAAAATGCATGAACGCAACTGTTTACGACACTCAGCCATATTACTCAGTGTCCTTGACCTAGGCTTACAATGATCCCGAGGTCCTCATCGAGAGAGGCGAATACGACTTTTATGACCGAGTCTCCTGGTTAGGGTTTTCATACCCTCGTGCCAGGTTTTATTTTGATCACCGGCTGCCTCACCAGATTCGGGCAATGCTGCATAGACAGCGATATTCAAACACTGACAGTCTATTTCTATCCTGTTTGCTTAACGGCCAAGTTTCTGCACGGAATCGCCCCTTCACTGGCAACCGGATGTCTCAAGTTGGTAAATACCAACCGAGCCTTTTGTATACGAGTTGGCACTTCATCCGTGATGCGTCTGCCGGTTCAGTAATAGCTGCCCAAATAACAAAACGTGTCCACTTAGTCCAGTACTTCCCCAGTCACAGAGAAGCTGGGGCTGGACCAGCCCAGGTTTGTAGCATCATTTTAAACATTGAAGGTGCAAAAAGCATACCGAACATGGTCCCACTAGCACCCAAACTATCCACAAACGCTTGCAACTTATCTACATGTTCTAAGTCAATACAGGGTTCGTTTGACAACGGGTCCATCCGTTCTTTTGTTTATGATAGTTTTGCGTCTCACGGAATACCTGACAGGTTGGCTCAGCATTCAGCGTCTCTGTGCAATCACACGCTGCCTGAAGAACTTTTTCTCGAAACCCCTGTCCAAGGATTGAGAATGCTCACTTTTCTTCACACTCATGTTCATCCCCAATATGGTCTCTCTCTCTCTCTCTCTCTATATATATATATATATATATATATATATATCGAATTAGATAAATTTTATTACTTGGCACAGCTAGGAGGAAAATAGTCCGAAAGTATGACCGAATTTCAAACTGCCATCATATAGCTAAGGTGTATCTCACGGATAATACCAGACAACCTGAGTTATGGGCGAAAAAATAACGCGAACACATTAGACTGGCTACAATGCAAATATTTTATTTTCACATACGTCTGAGTCGAGGCTGTGTGCCAAACAAATCACGGTACAATAAGATTTATAAAAAAGCAGGTTCATGGTTCGCTGACTCCTGATGAAAAAAACAGCTTGAAATTATGCACACACCGGACTGAATTTGTCACTACGAGGGCACCATTGACGCCGAATTTGAGCGGTACGCTGGTATAAAAAGCTATGGTTATTTGTCATGCTTTTGTCTCCGGTCTAGAAGTCGAGTGCTGATAAGAACATGGCAATCTTTTCAAAAAATCGTCCGACCGTCATTATTGAGACCGCACGGATTAAACCGATGGGACTAGGTCAAGTGTAACTAAAACAGAAGGACGACTACGCAACGAAANCACTGAACTGCAACCAACATAATGACTACGGTAGAGGAAATATAAAAGAACAATTTTTCGTTATATTACAAAAATCCCGTTCCTGTAATCATTTTAAACCGTTCGCAATTGTTCTCAAGACAGTTCATCCAATTGACAGGCAGGATTGACTCAGAATTAGTTGGTTGGAGAAACCGCGACTCATTCGCAGTTGCGGCTCCAGATTGAGGGAAACCACGTGCAGGTTAACAGATGACATGGAAACGAGGCATGAAGAAATGCACAAAGCCAGTAGGTAGAATAGGTGTCTGACAAAATGTTGAAAATCGGTTCTCGTAGCTCGGGTGAACTGAATTCCATTTCGCCTGTTCGCCAAGCTTGGCAATT